ATATATATATATATATCATGTTTTGATGAAGAGATGATATGCATTTAAATGAAATAATGTTATCTTACTTGGTAAACAGTTCCAAACCCGCCTTCTCCCAGTTTATTAGAATCTGAGAAGTTATTTGTTGCAACTTGTATTGTGTCTAAATCGAATTGCAATGATTCAACCATTTGAATTTCTTCATCGTGTTCATCTTCATCTTGATATGTGACACAAAGCAAAATATTATACTTAGTGTAGTCAAAATACAGAGAGAGAGAGATAATTTGTAAAAACAGAATAAAAGATCTTTGCCTTCTAATTTTCTTTCTCCTTCCTCTAAATAGTGATTAAGTATTTGAGTTTCCCATGCTCCCAGAATTATTTGTAAAGTAGATTAATTTTTTATTATCAATTTTAGTACACTGCATATACCATATTCATAAAAATATATATATATTATATCCATTGAGAAGTATTTTTTTGTTTCCATCTCTTCAAAAATTCATTTTGACAATATATAAGAATTGAAAATATGAATAAATCAATTAACATTTAGACCTACCAGGCAAAAGATTTTTCCTTGCTTGCTTCCTTCCAAAATATCTGCTAATAACAATAAGCAGAACAACAAGAAGAACGAGAAAAATAGTCACAACTACGGTAATTGTAATCCGCAATGAGTTGTCCTTTTCTGCAAAAACCAAAATCTTGTGGTCGATAAGACTTTGCAAATATTAAGGAAATAAAATATCAATAATACAAATAACTAATTAGTGAGAAAAATAGCACATAAGAATAAGGAAATGTAAACCCAAGAAAGGTGGAAAATGTTCGATGCATGTTTCGTAGGGGATCGATTCTTTGAATTGTCATACTTGGTGTGGAATATATAAATATGAAATCTGATAAAACTAATTAACAGTCATAAATAATGAAAGAGAGTTACCTTTTGGTGAAGGTGATACCGGTGGTACAACTGGGTCCAATATTGTGGTATGGTCGAAGAAGGGATAAATCTCAAATCTGACATTACAACTGGGTTTAAGCAACACAACACCAACCTTGTCTTTAAAATTTCTAGGGATTTCTGAGATAGTCCAGTCCAAGCAATCACCACAATCTTGGCTTGACAAATCAGGTGTACACTGCACAAGACCGTATATGGTTTGAAAATTTGCGGCAACTGCATTGCCCGAGTCATACTTACGACGAGAGTCACCTGATGCAGCTTTGCCTCTTAGACTTCTCACCAACTCACCCAACACTTTGTTGAACTCATCCACATCCGTTGCATTGTTTAGGTTATTCATTCTAAAGGGAGGATCAGTTTCCATGGTGCGAAATATTGGACGGTTCGAGTAGCGCAGCATGCACTTTGCTTCCCACTTGATTGCCTCTTTTTGATTTGGACAAAATTGTGTGAGAATGAGTCTAGAATAGTTGAGGCAAGTGCGACACTCGTCTGGCTCAACATCTCCCCTACACAGCCCAATGGCGTATACTTTGTCTGTGTTTTGGCCATACGAGAAATTGTAGAAACCATAGTTGATTTCTGTGTGGGAAGTGAGGGTGGATAAGAGGGTCTTGAGGTTGCTATGGTACGTGCTATTCACTGTGTAGTTCCCATTTTCATTGGAACAGATTTTGGCTCTTTGGTATTCTGGTGTGAAGCTGGCTTCAGTTATTACCATTATTACATAGAGGCAACAAAGAAAGGAAAGTGGCATACAAGAAATAGTAGTCATTGTAAATTGTTCTATGGGAATATTGAGAATGTGAAGAGTTGGGGTGGTTTTATATAGTATATACACGCATTCATGAATAGGTATTGATTGTTAAAATAATAGAGAAACAGGTGACACAATGTCATCAATACCCTTTTGCATAAGAGGTAGAAGATTCATCCAAGCAAGAAAAAAGAAAGAAACAAATAATGTGATGTGTGTGATATTTGACGCCACGGTCAAGAAAATTAGCAACTGGGCAACTTTTATCGTGCTTCCAAATTTTGTCCCTCTCCTCTTTACCCGTATATTTTCCAATAACCATTGTCCTTATTGTTGTGTAATAGAAATTCCTGTATCAGAAAGAAAGTAAGAGAGTTTTAGGTACTCACACTTAATTTACTGAGTCCTGGTAGTTACCTTTCTTTAACTATGTTCTTTTTTCAGTAACAGTTTGAGTAATGTCTCCATTTATTATAATTAGAAGATCTCTCTTGTTGGGTGAACGAGATTTGAATATAAACACTCAAACTAATTTAAGAGAAATGTTTACCTATTTTGTTAAAGTTCTTTGACAGAAGATGTTAAAAAAAGAAGAAGATATATTTATATTGATATCTTTTGGTCTTTCTCCTTTGTCTCTTTTCATGGAAAAAAGACTAATGTTAGTGGAAGACTGACTTATATATATGTGGTTGACTGTGGAGTCACCGCTCGAAGACACATGCAGGATATAGACTTGACCAAGCCAAGGCTTTGTTTGCTACTCACTTCCCTTGACGCCGTCGCCAGAAACAAATATTAATTGATGACAAATCAAATCACTATTTATTTCATAGCAAAACTATTGCGTCAAATGACAGCCTCGCCTAACATGTTTTTGACTTAAAAGTAAAACTCAATCTTAAAAAATTAATATAATTTGGATAATACGAATTTTGGTGAATGTATGTAAAAGAAGAGCTTATAATATAATTAAGTAAAAGATATTTAATTAAGTCATGAACCTTACAAAAATCATACAAATATAAATGTTAATTAAATATTTGTTTTGGAAGAGGCTTAAAGTAAGAATTGTATTAACCTAATTAATTAGTTGGGTCGACCTTGCATGTATGCATGAGATTCTATTGTGATACTGTGGTTTTCACTTAATTATTCATTTTAGTTTGCTTTTTTAAATTATAAATTAATTATTAATATCAATTATGTATTATAATAAATTATTTGATTGGAAGAAAATAGAGAAAAGTGGAGAACACTTTTAAAAAAATTAATATTTGATTTAATTTTTAGGAAGGAACGAAAAAAAAATCTTCTCCTTATTTACATTTTTATTTTAACTTAAATATGTTTTTAATTTCTATAAAATGAGCGATTTTTAATTTTGATCTTTATAATTTTTTGATTTTCTAAAATTTAAAATTATTTTTTTTAATTCTTACTATTATATAATATTTTTAACTAAGTATGTGTTTATTATATGGTTAAGTGACAATTTCAAATAGTACTATAAATGTGTATGATATCATGTTAGCGGTTACATCTCTAAAAATATTTATAAATTCTTAAAATATGTTATTTATTTACGTTAAAGTCACTACTAAGGGTAAAAACAATGAATTTATTTATAGAATAATGAAAACTAAAGAAAAGTATTTTATAGGGACCAAAATTAAAATTTATTTATTTATATTAATAAAAAAATAATATTTACAAATTTTTTAAGGATAAAAAATTATAAAAACTAAAATCAAAATAAATTTATTTTATAAAGATTAGAAACATATTTGACTATTGTAAAAAATATATATTTAACTTTTTTTCATCTTTTCATGCTTGCTATGTTTAAAAGTGTTGCGTTTCTTGTAAAAAAAAATTATATTGTCCTTACTCGGATTTAATATAGAAAAAATCAATTGTTTGTTCATTTATATAAAATTCAATTTATGTTGTCTCATATATTATTATTTTTAAATTAAAATATTCTTAATTAAAGTTTGTTATCTTAATTTGATGAAATGTATTAAATATAAGTTTTTTAAGGAGCATACATTCTAATTATTTAAAAGAATATGAGTATTAATATGAAGAAGAAAATAATATATAACATATATTTTAATTAGTTAGAAGATATATGAGTATTAATTAAAAAAAATAAATAGTATAAAGATAATTTGAGAAAAAAAAACATAAATATAATGAAAGTTTAAATATGTTTTTAGTCCTTCAAATTTAAAATAAATTTGTTTTTGTCCCTCAAATTTAAAATCATTATTTTTAGTCCCTGTAATTTTTCAAAAATGTTATTTTAGTTTCTCAGATCACCAATAATATATCTGAAAGTAACAAATTAAGATAGTTAATTATACAATATCAATTAGATTTAATGTAATATTTTCACTAATAAGAATAATAATAGATAGATTTTATGTAATAATATTTGATAAATTTCTTAACAAAATTTGAATATAAAAATTAAAATAATTTTTTTTAAAATTACAAAGACTAAAAATATCATCAATTTTAAATTTAAGAAACTAAAAATAAATTTACCTTAAATTTAAGAAACTAAAAATATATTTAAGTCCAAACTAGCCACGTCGATACATGCGGCTTTATTTCTGCGTGAACCTTGGCCACAACTATTTGGAGTCAACCATGGTTAGTCCATGATAAGTGCCTCATACCCATAACAATTATGAAAGGATCCAAAAGACTTTGATTATCACACACACTCGTGTCAAAGTAGGAAACAGATCCATCAATTGTAGGGTCAGTTTTCCACTCACATTACATTTGATACTTTATACTAACTAGTATAACTTTTATTTTTTACATAACCTTCGTGTGCATGTGTATATATATACATCACCATGGAAGATTCTCCTACGTATTACATGAATAACGTAAACAATGCAACGGTTGTGGATGAGTTGAACAAAGTGGTGGATGAGTAAGTGAGAAATCTGCATCAGGTCGTTAGTATGCCTCGAATACTGCAGTTGCTGCAACATTTCAAACCTTAGATTTGTCAAGCCAAGACAGTGACTGCTTGGATTGGAGTGTCCTAGATATCCCATGTTTTTTAGGGACAATGTTGCTTAGACCCTGTTCTAATGTTAGGTATGAAGTTTACCTTTTATTCCAACTTATGCCAATATTATTTGCTGTACCACCATATATCAACACCCCTATATCACTTTCTGTTTTTCCCCAGGTACTTTTCATTAGGCTAAATTGCTTAGAATTCAACTCATTTGCGTGGTATCTAGGCTTTATAATTTAAAATGACAAATTTTAAGAATGATTGTCGTGATTTTTTAGGTCCAACTCGAAGAAGAAAAAAAAATTTCACGTAAATTAAACATTTGGACGTAGATAAGAAAAAATTGCGTTGAAAAATCGGTATGCATATTTAATGGTTACTAATTATATATAAACATATGTTTTTGTTGAGAATTTTCGCATAATTTATTCTAATAGTAAAAGTCCATAATGTATTAGGGATTCTAGTAATTAAGAACATTCATTTATGTAAAAACATGTGAACAACTAATAATAATTTTTAGATTAAAATTTAAAAATAATAGAAGGATGTAATTAAAATTTTATTATAAATTTTTCTTATAAGATCATCAAAATGTTGTTATTTGTCATTGTTATTATTTTATTATTATTAATCTGATTACCATTTATATCTTTACAACTTTCACAATTATTACAATCGTTGTTGTCATCATTATTATCATTGTCATAATTATTACCTAAATTGTGGTCGTCGCCATATGGTAATGATGGTCCCGCCATGTGACAATGACGACATTAGGGACAATAAATGTGCCAACAATAACAATAGTGATAACAAAAAATAATTGTCACTATTATCACAATCACCACTCACCTTCATTCTTATCACATTGCGACTGTAAGAACAATGATAATGATAATTATGTGAGTAACAATGATATTCAATTAAAACTTTTTTTTATTTAAAATAAGTCAGTTGATATTAAAAAAAAATATAGAGATTTCAATAAATTATTTTGAAGAATGAATTTTGTAAGATTTTTTAGTAAAATTTACATACACTCATTCAACAATCCTACAAAAACCTTTGAAATTTTATATGACCTTTTTTTTCTCATTTTTTGCCCCCTCACCTTTTTCTTCTCTAACTCTCTCTCATCTTATCTTTTCTCTCTATATCTCTTCTCTTTCTTCCCTATCTCATTTTTTTCTCTCTCTTCTCATGTCTTCTTTATCTCATATTATCTTTCTCTTTTTATTTATCTTTCTCATATATTTGCTCTTCTTCTTTCACTTTTTATTTTTCTCCTGTCTTTTTTTATTTATCAATATTTTTTTGTTGCATTTTTATCTATCAATGTTGATGTATAATTTATTAACCAAATAATGTATTATATACTTAACTCAACCTTGTAAAATTGACTTGTAAAGTAGAGATTAATCTCCACTTACGTGCTCTTTAATTGTCTTACCTATAGTCGAGATGTGAGACTTAAATTTTTTTTTTCCAATAAAATGAATTAAAAGTCACTCTTACTTTTTTATTAACCATTTTCAATAATTACTTTTACAAATATATTTATAGTGACTATTATTTATTAATGTTCTTACCGGGAATCCGAGGTAGGGATGATCTGCTAGGTAAGATCGGTGAGCCTCCTTCACTGGTACGTTGATGCTCCAAGATGGGGGTGGTACCTGCAAAAGAGACTCTGATGCTAAAGTTAGGGTTTGTATGAGTATGAGTCTCGTATAAGTAATGCACGTACCTTGGTGTGAATTAGGGTTTCGTTGGGCCTTGGGCCTAAGATCAGTTATGATCTGATTAGATAGCGGATCTCGTATAGACCGAGATCTCCCAGCGCATGTCTGAGGTCGTCCTGCGCTGTGATACCGAGCTCGAGCTCGGCATAGCGGTACGGATAGTACACGAGCCCCCCGAGCTCCGAAGACTGTAGGTCGAGGAGTTAAGACCAAGCTCGTCAAGTGGCCGTGACCCTTCGCGTACGCCTGCCTGTCGAGATGCCATGTGCCACAACTGTCATTTCTCGAAAACGTGCAGGCGGCGCGTTAATGGGAGTGACGGTTATGCAATGATGGTTTGCATTCGTCACAATGGTCTTCAATTAATGTGTCGTCAGGTGTGCACCTTGACCGACGCATGTCATGACCGTTTTGAATTTCGGAAAACCTTTTTCTCTCTCTTGCGCCCTTTCCCCTTTCACTTTACTCATTTTCGTTCTCTTTCTTCCTTGGCTTCTTGTGTA